CACACCATTCACTATCTATGCAGCTGCATCCTGCACTAGTTGAAGCTTCCAAGTCCTCTTTAAGGGCAGCCCCATGTAGAGTGTGTTGCAGTCATTCAGATGGAAGGTTTCAAAGGCATTGCCATTCCTTTGTAGAAGGGGTTATTTCATAATTCCCAATAAGAAGTATAAGGAATCATAGCTGTTATCATGTACAAAGCCAGTTCTGTGCACTTCGTAGAAATATAAGATTAGTAATATTTAATTAAAAAATAAGGTGAAAAGAGAAATTCACCTTTAACATTTGTTTCATCCTATTATAAATTGTATTCCCAAATGTTTGGACTTTGGGAAGCTATTGATTCCTGATCGTCTTTAACTGAAATCTACTTCATAAAGTTGTGATGATAAAAATAGAGACAGGTATATCCAGTGTACCCAAGAACTTTCAAAGAAAGGACAAGATATAACTGCAGGAATTAATACAGGTAGTCCTCAACTTACAACAGTTCATTTAGTGACCATTCAAAGTTACAACAGCACTGAAAAAGTGACTTATGATTGGTTTTTTCCACTGTTGCGGCATCCCCATGATCACATGATCAAAATTCTTGAGGTTTGGCAACTGCTTCATATTTATGATGGTTGCAATGTCCTGGGGTCATGTGATCACCTTTTTTGACTTTCTGACAAGCAAAGTCAATGGGGATGCCAGATTCACTTAACAACGGTGTTACTATCCTAACAATGGCAGTGATTCACTTAATGACCGTGGTAAGAAAGGTCGTAAAATGGGGCAAAACTCACTTAACAAATGTTTTACTTAGCAACATAAATCTGGGGCTCAATTGTAGTCATAACTCAAGGTCTATCTGTAACATATTATTTATGTACAGGATATATATGATCACCTATCTCATATCATAATAATTCTATGTGATTCACAACAATCCATCAGAGTGGCCACCGGTAAGATGTGTCTCTGAGGTCCCATTAGGTGGTAACATGGTGATGCTGCAGATTTGTAGGATAGCTGAGCAAAGAAAGGTATTTTTGACAAAAGGAATATATAAGGAGATAGTTGGTAAGGAAGCACTTTAAAAGTTTTCATTTCAGTTGGTACGAGCCAAAAGGTTCCTACTTTTGTATGAAATGATTTTTTAAAAAAACATATGCTTTAGGCATGCAGAAAAAAAAGGAAGGAAAAACCCAACTGATTGATGGTGGTGGGGATTTAAGAGCACCTCCCCACTATATTTATGTTTCCAAACTCTCTAAAGAAATTGGAAGCCACCCTGCATGTCATGAAATGCTGAGTAGATACAGACAACAGGAATTTATCAGCCTCCACCTTCTGCTCCCCAGCAGGAGAGAACAGAAACACCTCCTGTTCAATTACTCAACTTAAGCTGCAATATCCTACAGTATTGTACATTTCCTCCCCTGCCTTCCAAACAGAGTGTAAAGATGAGTAACAGGATGCTAAAACATGGCACAAAGGATGGAGGGAACGATCCCTGTTTGGTATTAGAAGCCAGAGGTTAGGCTGAAGCAAGAGTACCCACCAGTGTGGAGGAGGCCTATTCACAAGGTATCTTCAGCTAATTTTAGTGTGGCAAACAAGAAAAATATCTCTGCAGTTCTTGATACAAACTGAGCCAGAACAATTAAAAAAATCAGCTCAGCTTATCACATTCAAGTGATGACATAAGATTGCAAAGGGATGCAGCTACTTTATGCTTGTGATATAAAGATATGTGGGAAAATATCTCTTGTAGCACAAAGTGTTGATGTTTGTGTGGTATTGTCTTCAAAGCAAAATTTTAAAACTGACAACATCCCAAGAAGTCCAGTTTTCTCTATTGAATGAAATTAGTAAAAAAAAGACCAGAGATTGGTACAAATTGTCATCTTAGATTTGAAGCAGGAATCCTTCATTCTAGTGCAGGGGTGTCAAACTCCCGACCGGATGTATCATAATGAAACCGTGCCCACCCCATTGCCAGCAATGGCAAAAAGTCACGCTACGTCGCGACATGTCACATAATGTTGCAAGTTTGACGCTCCTGTTCTAGTGCTACCAGATCTGAGTTGCAAAAATCTAAACTATCACTAGAGGGAAGCAAAGAAATACATAAACCTCTAATACTTTTGCTGTCATCTAGCAACCATGCAAATATCAGGCCAAATCTGGTAGCCTTACCTTTCTCAAAATCTAGAGCATGATGGCGAACTTTTTAGAGACTGAGTGCCCAAACTCCCCACCCACTGCCTGCCCCCAAACCCCCTGCTCTGCCCCTACCTCACCTGCCTGCAGGGCCATCCACCACTTCCACAACCCACCGCAGATTGCTCAGGTTGCCCTGCAGCGCGACTGGGCTATTATCTGCATGCGACTGGGCGCGAGGGCAGAGTCTTGTCCCCGCTGCCCGGCTGCCATGTCCTTGAATGTGCTGCTCCACGCGGGCTGTGTCCAGGAGTGACTCTCTGGGGGGCTACTGGTAAGGAGGGGGCCATGGGGGAGGCGGGGCTGGAGTAAAGGTGCACGTGCCCACACCACCCCTGGTCTAGAGAAAGAGCCTGCACTTTCAATTGTTCTTCACCAAAAAGACTACAATATTTAGTTCAATAATAGTAGCACATATTGTACATATAAGACAAATTGCAACAGGATTCACGTGTATGTTTTAAAACAGTTTTGAGGCAACAATTGCCAGCATCTGCCATTACATTTTTGCAATTCTTAAATGTAAAGTAAGAAGCACACAATGACTCATGTGATAACAAAGAGACTAGAAACCTTTGAAATGTGGATTTTATAGAAGACTATATAAAATATCATAGAGCGCATATAAACAAAATGAGATGCTCCTCCAAAGACAAATAAATACTCTAGTTGGACATTGTGAATACCATCACCAAAAAGACAAAGAAATATTAAACACACAGAGTAAGCAATCAGAAATATCAAGAAAAGATTCAAGGAAACATAGCACTGGCATACAGCACAAATCAGAAAAATCTACCTGTATTGTTTGACAAAAATACACTTCCTTGTTTAGTAATAGCAAAAGAATGAATAATGTTGATGCTCACCAATCTCGGGGAAGAAAGAACAAAAAAACAAGAAAAACCAGGAGTTCATTTCTGATGGTTTATGGTTCATGCACACATATTGTGTCAACATTGATGTGTCATCTGTCTTGCTGCTCTTCCACGGATCCCATTTCTACTCAACATTTTTCTGAAAGTGAGTCATGAACTTTAACCGAGATGAGATTGACCTACAGATTCATAGATTTTCCTTGGCCATTTTATGCTCTGTTTTTATAGTGATTTTGATAAGATGAACACTCTTGGAAAAACTCAGTATTATTGCAAATTGTCTCAATTTCAAGAGTACATATCTGACTGAATTGGAGACATCCAGAGCTTCAGAAATTGTGCTGTAATCTTTTGCAGACTGATAGGTATTAATGCCTTTTTTAAACGGAGTGGGCATGTCAGCTTTCTAGAATTTTGTCCTATATAAACTTCACAGATGAGTGGAACCAAACTTTGTAAGCATGAGTGACCCAAAACATCCCTTATTGTTTAATGCAGCAAAGAAAGAATTGCCCATAGTTAATTCTTTAATTTAAATTATTGAATTGGGTGGGTATTAATGTTCATGCTGAGACTTTATATTCTAAATTATTTGTTTGTGAAATAAATAGCATTATAGCACTTAGACTTATATGCCACTTCATAGTGTTTACAGCCCTCTTTAACTGGTTTACAGAGTCAGCATATTGCCCCAAACCATCTGGAGCAAGTAACATATTGGCGTAGTGTTTGTTTTGTTTTCTATTTTCACGGGATCCACATGAAGTTCTGTCAACATTTAGTGGCAAAAATAAGCAGCAATTTAAAAAAAATCACATACACACACAACTGAGACATCTCAAATTGGAACACATGAAAAATTAACAAAGGACAAGGGGCATCTCAACAGCAATAAGCATCTAAAGTGAAGCCACAGAACTTGGTGAAAAATGTAGCATACAGTTTGATGCATTTTTCACTGCTTTTTTTTTTTTTAAAAAAAAAATCTGAGATCCACTTTTTATGGAGCAGGACTGGGAATGCCCAGTTTAACAGTGATATTCAAATCTCTCAAAAATGTTCTGCCTTAACAGTCCAGTAAGAGTGACATATAGTTCACTTTCTATCTTATATTTAGATCCATTTGAAGGAATATAGCTATCATGAAGATGGGGGACTCTTGAAAGAAACTAGGCAATGAATCAAGTAATTTTAAAATTATTTCAGTAAAATTATTGGAAAAAAAAGTCAAGGCTCTTAGAGCAGTGGTCCTCAATCTTTTTGGCACCAGGGTTCGGTTTCATGGAAGACAATTTTTCCATGGACCGGGACCGGAGGTTGAAGATGGTTTCAGTTTTGCTCACTCATCCACTGCTCACCTCCAGCTGTGTGGCCCACTTGGATACTCCTGGTTCTAGAGAAGGTGTAGTTCACAAATGGCACATGGCCTCATTAGATCTTAAATTGGGTCCATGGAGTTTTAAACTGGAAAAAAATATCTGCTTGTACAAGAAAATCCACTCTGGTTTGAAGCATGGACAGCACCAAAATTAACTGGTCAATGATTTAACTCAGAATAAAAGTGGTTCATAACTTAACCACATAGTTAAGATTCCTTGGCTGAAGGTTTCATACATTATGGCCTGCAACGACATGAGATGATATTAAAGAAGAGCTACCTCTGATGCTGAAGCCTAATTATTTTAAACAAATGTTTGGGAACTTCAGCTAGAACTGATGTTTTATCATTAGTTAATGATAGATTACTTAGTATTACTTAAAATATCAATATTATATTAAACTAAGATAATAAATGTTTTTAAAATGTAACCAGACTTGTGTTAACTTTTAGCAAACAAGACTGAACTCTTCAAAACTTGCCTGTTGTATAAAAAAGAAAATGGTGCAATCTAAAATTATTATAATACACATATTGCTTTATGTTTTTATCATATTTATTTGTCATAATGTACAACAATAAGTTATATATACAAAATTACACAAAATTGTTTCAATATTTATCAAGAATGCAGGATTAATCTTGCCTTTTGCTGCTTTTTAAATTACAGTAAAAAGCTTCTTTCTATTTTAAACAAAATAATATTAAATATTCTCTGTTCACATTGATACTATTGATCACAAAGTCTTGATATTCCCCAGGCATAAAATATGTATTTTTAAACAATTACCAAACATATCTAATGGCAATTCTTTAGTTCTCCAAGATAACTTTGTCAGTAGGATATGGGGATCTGAATTATTATTTATAGCTTGGAGCTGCATTTATGTGAAGTTGTAGAATAAGCAACTGAAATTCTTGCATGTTATAATCCCAAAATTATTGCCCAAAGGCATTTCTTTTTTTTAAAGTGCTTATGGATTCTACCAAAACTAAAACTAATGCAACAAAGATGGAATGAAAAACTAAATCCAATTCTCAACAATGAACCTGTAGGATTATTATATTATGTCACCCTCTTAAAAAAGAAAAAAATAAGGTCTCCCTTGGGTCCAGTTTAATGCATGGATACTTGATACATTTTCTTAGTAATAGTTCACAAGTAGCTTGTCAAAGTTCTGGCATTTTTATCCACCTATTATTATTTATGATCTAGAAGGCCCAACTCTGCTATGCCAACTGCTATGACAATTGCCTCCTACCTCTGGATAATTGTCATAGGGCAGATGTTGAGCAGACCACAGTGGGTGGTCTTCTGCCATACATCTCATGATGTAATAGTTAATGTGTGGTATTTGCAAACATTAATTCCATGTGGATTGCTTGAGTTTGTTCTGAGCATCCACCTGAATAGTCATGCTGTGCACTAGATTATAGGCCATGTAGGCTCAGGATAAAAGCCAAAGTTACTTCCTCCCCTTTTTCAAGGTACTAATATGAGACTTCTATTTATTTGTATCTACAAAAATAGATTTAAAGGTTGCTTCAAGCTGCATTGGAAACAGAAACCATAACAAATATTGCATTTGCAAATTAATTACAGGAAATAATTCTATCATTATTCATATGGGAAAGGATACATCTGAGATAGTAAACTATATTTTAATGCAAGAACTCATAGGCTAACAAACTGGATGCTGCATGGAGACATACCAATATTAAATATTCATCTCAGTGACCCCATTAGACTAGAATTTGATTTTTTTTTGTTTGGAATGAAGGCACTAGGGGGTTGGCCTAGTTATTATTTTCCTGAACATGAATTATAGTTTTATAGCATTTTCATTCAGTCATGCTTCTTGTAATTAAAAATGTTTTAAAGGCATGTTGTTTCTTTTAATAATAATAACTTATTGAAATCTGTCAACATAGCTGTTTTTGATAGGTATATTAACAAACTTGCTAATTAAATTTCTACCAACTCTTGGGCTCTGTACTTAAGTTTCCTGCAGAAAAAGAGCGACTATTCCTTTCAAATCTATAAATAAAGACCACAGGCCATTCTGTCCAAGAGCACAGTGTTTACATTAGGGAAATGCTATAATAAAACTCAATTGTTACTATTCTCTCTTACTTGCACAAAGTGGGTTAGCAGGATGGGTCACAGGAACTGATCCAAATGCAAATTTCTCAAGTGCTGATGAAAGGCAAGAAAGGACGAAGGCCCTAATGGGCACAATAAGTATGCAATGAAGATCATCTTAACAGATGTTAGGTGATCCTATGATATTCCTATAATCAATGCTTCCATGGGTTTCATATTAAAACATGTTATAAAGTTATTTTAAATAATGGAAAAATTAGTACCTTTACATTAAATAAAATAATTTAGAGCAATACAGTTTTACCAGTTGGTACTTAGTCCCCCATCCTACTGATAGGAAAGAAAGTCTCCACTTCTGAGAAACTTGCATCCATAGTAGAAGCCCTGATGATTGTGATATATTTAATTCACATGGAACACAGATCCTTTTCACAGATGGACCATCAGTGGGGAAAAGGTGAATTAAATGAAACACATCCTCAAACATGCACAAACTCCATGCAAATTCACATACTGTGAGAAATTGGGAATAGTGTTCTCATTTGCTCAGACATTATAAGCCAGATTTGTTTAAAAAATAATCATAAGAATGATAATGATAATCCACTACATTCAAATGTAAGAGGGAGCTGTGCTCATATCAAAAATAGATATTTCTGTTTCCTCATTAACTACTATTGTTTAGTGTTCCTATTACAGCTGTCCAGAACAAATGTTTTGCGTAAAGTAAAAACATCACAGGAAAACTAAACATACCACATACATTTCTGTTGGTGATTGCAACAACTCTAGTCAAGAAATCTGTAATATTTTTAAATGCTTTCCATAAAAGTGTTTCAACAATCATTAATTTCCTTTGCATCTAAAGTTGATCAATTTGATAGATTTATTACAGGCTTCTGCCTCTCATTAATGATCTCTTTTTGAGAACCAACAAATGTTCCCATTTGTTTGTTCTAGTGCATAAAAGATGGCCCCAATTAGATGTTTATGAAATGCAATATTACATTAATAAATAAATTCTGCTTATATTAGAAGTAGTTTAAGTTTTCACTAGTATCTATGAAAATATTGCTGAAATTTCTGTGTGGACCATCTATATGAATTCTTATTTGCTACAATTTGAATAAATTGGAATAAAGCTATAGATCTTGTAAAAATGATAATTCAGCCAGCTTCACCTACAGGCATGGATTTTTTCCTCCCCAAAATCCATGATATATGGGAGAAAAATGATAATTCAAAAAAAAAAAACTTGTAGCAGCACAGATTTTCATATAAATCACTATTTTTGATGTGACATATTCATTATCCAGGACTGAAACAAAATTAACCCATATTTCTTCAAAACAAGTAATGATACTAGTAGATTGATCTATATTCATGCTTGTAAATGGAACTGAAAATGAACTGTAATATTTTGGGGGGCATAAACAAGTCTTGTTGAAAAAAATCTTCAGTTTGAGCATTTTGTATTTGATTCCAAAAACCAAGAACAAATCTTGTTTTTTTTTTAATTGTTTCAATAGCAAAAACGATACTGAAACAAAAGCTATGGAAGCTTCAAAAATCTATTTCCTTCTGAGTCCCTTTGTTATTTCAATCATCCCATCATCCTCTGGAAATGAAGATCACAAAAATGCAAGTCAGGAGGTCACAGCTGGTTCAGGCTTTGGCATCACTTGGGCCCACTCTAAGATATCTACACAGAGAGACTCCACGGCATCCAATCGCTCAATCTGGACCAGTTTTGTTAGCAGTTCTGGGATACTATACCCAGCTGTGCTGATGCGGTCAAAGACTTGCATGCCATCTGTCATGCCACCAATTTCATCCCGCTTCAGTCCAAAGCTCTCAGCAAGATGGCGCCAAGTCTTCACAATGGCTTTCTCAGTGTTGTAAGTGGAGCTGAGCATCCTGCTGGTCTTTTCCAGACAATCAAAGGGTAGCTCTGTGGGACTGAGGCCTGGAAGGAAGTTCACAGTCACATTATTGTTATTATTGTTAAGATAATATTACATTGTATATTCCAAATGAAAAGATATGTTCACATTATGCATTTACAGAATTGACATTATCTGTTGGGTCATCCCCATTTCTACTTCATGGTACTTTCCCCCAGTACTAATAATTCTTTAATAGCATTCATTCTATTTTGTTGCTTTGATTTCATCTTACAGAAGAAGCAGCAGCAAAGATTATTGAGTCTCTTACTTTATGTTTCAAAGCATTTTTATTTTTACCGTCTCCTGGGACAGATATTAATCCAGTGCTACTCTATCCCTTGTGATTGAAATACTTTCCAACATAGCTTTCTGCCAACCTTCACATGAAGCAACAACAAAAATTAATTAAAGGAAAGAGGTGTGGGTCTCCAGCCTCAAGAAAGGCAGGAGAAATGGTCCATTTGTACTAGATCTGGGAATTTAGGTTTCATTGAACTACATGTCTGAACTGTTTCAGCCCACACAGCTCTTCATGAAGGATGGTGGAAGTATTCAATCATCTGAAAGGACTCATGTTCAACACCCTTTTATGAGAAATTCAAAAGATCTTTCCTGCAATATTTTATTTTTTATTTGTGTGTAGGTGTTTTAAAAAAAATCTCTTCATTTTGGGAGCAATGCACACCCTGTATTAGTTAACTTCCCACATCTTATTACAGTTAAGAATAAATCCAGCCCTGAATGTTCTTTTCTCCAAAAGCTCCTTCTGAGATAAAGCAAACAAAATAGATGTGAACAGCTTATATCCACAAATGTGTAAGTTACTGTATATAAGATATATATATTTTGTCTATTTTACAGTTTTTAAATAATCTATAGTATACCACGGACAGTTATTTTCTGAGTCTGGCTGTGTATAAATATAATTAATCAGCTTAAAGAACCCTACAATAGAAGTATATTTTAACACTTTCCACCTTGTACCATCTGTCTTCTAGAATAACTATTGAATTGATTCCTAAACATCACAGATAAAGGCAGGATGCCTATAGGACTACAAATCTTATTACTAAAGTTTTTCATGGAGACTGCTTACAAAAGAAGTTTTCAAGACTTTTCCCTGTTGGATTTCCAAATGTACCAAACACCAACCTGATTCTAGCATTAGCATATTCAGCTTTATTTCTTCCAAAATAGGCTTTAAGAATTTTTTTCCTTAGAATGGGATTAATCTGTATCTAGCATTTGTGACTCCTTGGCAGTGTTGAAGCTACATAAAGGTGTGTACTTAAGAAAGCAGTTCATGCATGTTTTCAGTTTCTATATTTTATTTCTTTTCACTCACCTTCTGCCACACTGCATACATTAGTGTATAAGTCGAGTATCTTTTTTCTCCGGCTTTGTATCTAAGGAAAATAAAAGACAAAAACATTTATGTTTCATTTATATAAGTTGTTCTGGATTGTGAAGAGTCAGACACAAAGATGACATTCCTTATACTGTATGCAGTATTTGGTATGATACATAGAGTAGTTTTGATTTGAACATAAATTGCCTATGAATCTTGGCTGGCATACCTAGCTGGAAAGAAGGAATTGTGTCAAATTGTTTGTGTTTTAAAGAAAGTCTATTCTTTTTAATTTCAGTTCAAATCACACACTGTTGTAACTTGGATTCCTGTAATCTGGTCTTCAGGATTTTATTTCTCAGGAGATATATTCGGATTGGAGAAACTATCCAACTCTTAATTCTGAATCCATAGAAAATGGGGAGGAAATATCAAGATTATTATTGACACTGGCAAGACTGAAGCAGCTTTAAGCAAGATTCTTCCATGTGGCTTCCTTGACCTTACTGCTTCTCTTCTCAGTATGCAACCCTATTTATTATTCTCGTTTAAAAAGAAATAGGAGAGATCCCTTTTATTCCTTTTTGTGCACTATGTCACAATGGACACAGAAGACATGCTTTTGAAGTCGTCTGCACTGGAATGGTTAAACCCACAGAGGTGGAGACTGGAGGTCTCAGACCCTTTCTCTCCAGATCCCTTTGGGGATTCGCACCTTCGCCCTTCTTGTCCTTTTGGTGAGTGACTTGGGGATACCTTACCTGGCTTTGTAATCTGTATTTATGCTTGCAATTTGGGAAGCTGCAGACAGTCATCTTACCCCACCCTCCATTCCTTTTTTCTCTCTGTCTTATGGAGTGGGCAGTTGAATATTGCACTCCAACAAACTGGGAATGTCAGTGGAGGCCTTTGTTCCATGTTAGCACATCCTTTCTCTAAGAAGCTGCAAAGGGAATAATGATGCTGCAACATATTGTAGTCTTTTCAGAGGCTCTGGACCTACATCCATTCATCCAGACTTATATGCATCACAGATTTCCCTGAGGGGCCAGTGGCCTTCCTCTTACAAACACGCAGTAATGACTCTTGCCAGATTTGTATGCTTCTAAGAGGAAGATGGGGTTAGCTAAAAAGACAACAATAAAACTGCACTTTATTTCTGTCATATCCTTGCCATTAACAACTCTGCCTTATAAAGCAGATATATACTTCTATAAATTTAATGAAAAAGCACCTATATCAAACTGTAAGGGCACTGCGTAGTATCAAGTCCATAAATGTTACTGGCATATTTCTCTGTTCATTGCCAGGCATGTCCCTCCCCTCTAGCAGCCAGTCACTGCCTCGTGTAGCCATTTCATATTGGGCTCTTCTCTTCTCTTCTCTTCTCTTCTCTTCTCTTCTCTTCTCTTCTCTTCTCTTCTCTTCTCTTCTCTTCTCTTCTCTTCTCTTCTCTTCTCTTCTCTTCTCTTCTCTTCTCTTCCCTTCTCTTCTCTTCTCTTCTCTTCTCTTCTCTTCTCTTCTCTTCTCCTCTTTTCTTCCCTTCCCTTCCCTTCCTCTCCCCTCCCCTCCCCTCCCCTCTCCTCTCCTCTCCTCTCCTCTCCTCCTTTCCTTTCCTGTCCTGTCCTGTCCTGTTCAATATCTGCTCAGGTTACGTGACACATGCTCCCTTTCCTACCCTGTGCCACATTACTGCTAAACTTCCTTTTCCCCTATTTTTAAAACATCATTAAGTTGCAATATTGCAACATGACTCCTTCGCTTCTATAAATCTGAACTCTCCATTTTTCCTTGCCATAAAATTTTCATGGACCCACAGAAGAAAGTAGGAGTCAAAGAATATGTTCCCTATTGCTATGTTAATTGTGGTATTAGAACTACAATAGTACCGTGAGAATAAAATAAAAAAAACAAATGTCTGTCTTAGTGCCAAAGGAGATCATCTGGGAAAGAGGCAGGGAGTGTGAAGGCACCCAGGTGTGCAAACATTTGGGAAAGCAGGAAAAAGTACAGGGATTAGTGAAAATTGTGCCTCTTTGGCTTGCAAGTAGCTTTTAGCACAGTGTTTCTCAAACTTTGCAACTTTAATAAGATTGGTGAACTTCATGCTGGCTATGGGATTCTGGGAGTTGAAGTCCATCAATCTGAAAGTTGCCAAGGCTGAGAAATACTGCTTTAGCAGTCTGCTAGAAAAATTCCACCCCATTTTCAGCCTTTTTCTGTCCATTAAAAGTGCAACTAATCACTGTAACACATCATCAAAAAGGTCACTGATTCAACAAGATTTCTCATTAACTTACTCCGGTTGATTTGTTATTTGTTGAAGATTTATCTCGAGCCAAATGTACCAGAGACAATAAACACAATTCTGGAGTCCCTTGCTTGTCAATAGCAGCTTCTTCATCACTGTCCATGCTGCGACTTAAAAGCCTCTCATTCTCTGAAGAAGCATCATTTTCACTGAAAAGCAACAAACAAACAATAAATATGCTAACCAAGATTGCTTTTCTAAAACAGCAACATGCACAATTCCAGAAATGCCCTTTTGGATTTAAACTGTGTACTTGTTAAATGTTTATTTAATATAGATGATGAATACTACATTGAGTTTAAGTAAATACTGCAAAAAATGGGCAAAACATTAACAATTTATGTCTGCAAATTAATGTCTAACAGTATATTTATTCAAAAGTAATCCTGGTTTTCTTCAGCAATGTAGGACTGTAGTGTTCTGTGCATTCCACTTCCAAGAGGACTTACAATAATCACATGCCCAAGTCCAGCCCTAGTAAATATTCTACTGAATATTCATGAATGAATTCTCTGTACATATAGATCCACTCCTCACATTTAATTTACTGGGGACTGATCCACATATGCATGTGAGCACCATTACTTATTTATAGTTTTAATTTTGAAGAGTTTGAGTAATGGAAACTGTTCCTTCTTAAACAAACTTGAGTCTTCATTATTGTGCCTACTAATTTATTTGATGTTATTTTCTCATTATATCAGCCATGTTGTTGCCATTGTAAAACTGCTTAACAATTCACCCACTGGATTCAATGAGGCTTAGTTTAGGAAAAAAACATTTTTTTCAAATAGATTGCAGTTGTCGTCATGTTATGCCCCCACTACTAACCGGCTAGAATAGAATAGAATAGAATAAAAACTTTGTTGTCACTTTAAATGTACACTAATCAGCATACATTAAAATGAAATTTCGTTGCATTCAGTTCTCAAAAAAATACCATTATGCATATACCCACATACTCATACATATATGACACATAAAACATCGAATATATACATTGTGAAACAAAAGAATCCTGTAAATTTACAAGATGGATGGCATAAGGAACAAAGCTGTTACAGAATCTAGTAGTTCTGCTATAAATACTTTAAGATCTCCTCCCAGAGGGGAGCAACAGAAGCAGACTGTGAACTAGGTATGTGGGTTCTCTAACAATACTTTGACATTAAGCACATAGTGCTTATAAGCAGTATCCTGAATAACAGGAAGTGAGCTTCCTATAATCTTCTCAGCTGTCCTTACCACTCTCTGTATGGACCTTCTATCTGAGGCACTGCTACCACCAAACCAAAACAGTGATGCAGTTTGTTGAAACTCTCTGAATAGTCCCTCTGTAAAAAGTGGCCAGGATGGAAGGAGAAAGATGTGCATTCCTCATCCGACGCAAGAAATGCAAATGCTGGTTTGCATGCTTCACTAAAGATAACATATGAAGAGACCAAGTCAGATCGTTAGTTATCTGCATCCCCAGGTACTTAATATTATTGATCACCTCCACAGCTGCAACTTTGATACAAAGTGGAGTATGACTATGCCAGGTCTTTCACTACCAACCTGCTATTTAGATATCACATACCTCTTGACAACCTTAGCTGGAGTTGCTGTCAATTTTCCAAATTCATCTTTCTCAGAGAAAATTTTTCCATTTTCTGCAATGGAAAAAGAATGTGAAAAGATTGAGGTAGTAAAAACACAAAACAGACACGTACAACCACTTGGCATTTGAATTGTGAATACAATTGCCTTGGAGCTTCTCCAAGAAGGTAAGACTACATAAATAACCAATTGCAGAGCTGAATTTTCATTAGTTTTCAATGCCTTTCCAATTATTCTTCTACTAATAATTGGAGCTTATGGAGTTACATTGTAGCAATATAAGCCCCGTGGGCACTGATGTCTAAACAGCAGAAATTACAAAACAGTCCCAACCTGGGGCTTCTGTTTTTTCTTCCTGCACATTGGCCTGGGCTTCTACCGTCTTCACTGACTGGCTGGTGCAGCATGCTGTAAGATCAAAATACACATCTTGTTAAGATAAACCCCTAAGAGTCACCTACATCAAGCATTTTGAACAGCAGTTGAAGTCAAACAAAGGCAAGATGGCAGACCCAGCAGCATGATCAAAGCTCCATCCTTTTTCATACTTCATTGCATCCCATTAACAAAAGGAGTGATGCTCCACTCATGTCACTGCAACTGCCAGCTTACGGTACCCTTTTTTAATTCTCCTGCAAATCCTCCCTCCCTTATTTCAAAACCTGAATTCTTGCTATCACTTGGCAGTTACCTTGAGCTGAAGTTTTAGTTTTCATAATGTAAAACATGATGATCAGCACAATAGCAATAGCCATTATGAAAATGGTGGACATGGCAATGATAAGAGCGGTAGCCAGATGTCCCTGTCCAGAAAGATCTAGAATGACAAACAGGGAGAGAGAGGAAAATCTATTTAAAAACATTTTCAGGATTAACCATCAATTACTTAATTTAATTACTGATTAAATGCACCTAAGATCAACCCAATATTTCTAAAGCAGATAAAATCCTTCCAGTGTTTTGTTATTATCTCACAGGTAGTAGCAGCACCATCTTAAATAAGGGTGCCATTCTGTATGCTTGAAGAAAACAACAGTTTGTTTCTGAGAGTGCTTTGCTTGCTGCAATTAATAAGCAACAATAACTTTTTTTTAAAAAAAATCATCTAACCAGTTCATTGGAGGTTATTTTTAATCTACTAAGTTTGTAATTATTAACCTAATTTTAATAGTGCTTTAAAATTATTATTATTCATTTAATTAAAGACTGTAATGAACATATCAGTAGGATAGTGATACTACCCTAGTAGGAGGATATGAGATATTGGGGGATTACTTTCTTTAGATTTATATAACAAATCTTAAATTTGTTATGCGCTGAAAATGGGAGCATAAAAAGTGGAATCAAAGGTTGAACACTTAGAGGTTGTAGATCGCCCATGTCTATAACTTACAATTCCTTGAGAATAAATAAAAGTCAACTCAGTCTTTAATACAAGTACTTGTATTGTACATTTATATGTACTCTTAAAAAATTAACTGAGAATAATATAATCAAACTAAATACAATTAAAAGGTAAAGTTCCCTAATGAAAATGAAAACTGTCCACTATCCCATCCAGCTTCCTAAAAATGATTTAAGAAGGCTCCCAGTCTGCCAAAGCAGATTCCAAAGATGTCCAGGGAGATGAGGAACACCCTTCTCAGCTTTGAGGAAAGCAACTCTTTTAATAGAAGAGCTTTAATAAAACCTCATCACATCTTTATTGAATGCAATCAGTACTAAATGTATAGGCAATTTATTATGAAAATAAATTCTACTAAGTTCAGCCTATTAAGTGTCTTCAACAAAGATGAAGAACTAAATGTGTGTGAAGAACCATATTTTTCTGCAGGAACACTCTGGCAGGCCAAAAGCTAGTGATTAGAGTTGGAAGAACAAGTCTCTTAGTCTCCTGGGTCAAATTTTTCCCTTCTAAGCAGCCAGGCATTTACATCCCATGTCTAGCATGTAGAGCTAATGTAACTATACCTATAGTATAGTAACTATACCTAGAATTGTGTTGCCATACTGTACAATATTTTAATTCAACTGTACAGTATTTTAATTCTTTGCTTGCAGCAGAATAAATGGGTGGACTTTATAAACCTCTGTGTTTCAGATTGCAATCTACTCTTCACTGTGTCAATCATTTTTTCACCATCCATTCACCACGGAGCATTGTTCACAGAGCTCATTCAGAAATTAACCTCTTATCAATAAGAGAAAATCTAGTCTTGGATGCTCTATCCTCACTAGTCAATACCCATCTCAGAACATGACATTCATTGCAAATTGTGGACATTTTATAATGGCTCATTGACTATTCAGCTTTGCCTATTCAGTTTTTTTAGTATTAGCCATGAAAAGATCAAAGTGGAGTGGAAATCCTTCTGCAGCTAGCATCTATTTTTATTTATAATTGTCACCTAAAGGTAAAACTTGCACGTTCAATAGAAATGGATCTGCCATTTGATTCCTTTATGGTTCTGAATGAATTCTTTTAGTTCTTTTATTTTGTTAAATTTATTTGCTGCTTATCTCACTATGGGGCTACCCCAGTAGGTAGGTAGAGTATTTTATTAATTAATTAATTAATTAATTAATTAATTAGTATTATATGGTTCATCACATAGTCAGCAAGAAGTTCCACCTGGGATTTGGCATTATTATAAAACAAGTATTCTTATTTGAGCTTTAGCAAATTATCCTTTGAATAACCTTATAAGTCCCCCCTGGAGTCACTGAGAGTGAATTGGACAGCCATATAAATTAACAAACAAACAAGCAAACAAACAAATAAATAAATAACCCTGTTGTGCCATGCAGGCATTTTAATATATTTTTTCTTCAGCTTGTTTGTTTTCATTTTGTGCCAGTTTGAAACATGCAACTGACGAAAGTAAAGTTGCTCCAGTTCAGGAAGATCCCCAATTTTTATATTTGTAAACTGAGACTTATTGTATGCAGGTATTCCCCATTCATGCATAAAAGGTCCTAGTGTAGAAGTCTCACTAAATGCCTGATAAATTACTTCCATGCAAGTGCAGCATGTTCACTCTCTTTGCAATTAACTAATGAAATTGCTGGGCATTCTTCACACATTACAGTGATGATTACTCTTGGGATCAGAACAAAAAGCTGATTTCTTAAACCGCATACCCCAATTACAAGGCTGCATATTATTTCCACATATCTGTCTCCTAAGCAAAGATCCGGTGGATTAGCAGCCAAAAGCTTGTTCATTTGACTACATTCCATTAAATTTCTGCTTTCCAAGTCAGTTACATCCAAGGAGATAAAGCAACTAAATTAATTTCCCTGAATAAGTTCATCCATTGGCAAACGAAAGTCATACAATTCATCTTTACTGAAGTAGACTGATTGCTGAAGAATAATTTTGAGGATTCCTCATATCTGAGAAAAGCAGCCATTGTGAAGGATTTTCTGTCGATTGCAGTCCTTTTACAGCCTGTTCTTTTACAATTTTACAACCTTTTAACACTCCGTTTTTACTTTGTGGGATTTTCTCCCCTTGGAGGTTAGAACGGCCCCAATCTTCCTAGCTTTTTGTAAGACTTTAAAACGTGGCTGTGTACCTGAGTCTGAAGCTCAGAGTGTGTTAAGGGCCCCATGTCTTGGCTTTTCTGTTAGTTGTTTAACTATCTGGGCTGCGGTATGTATGTATTTTTTGAATGTTTTTATTGTTGTCAATTGTTTTAATGGTTTATTAAACTCACAGTGTCACTTGACAAGATGGGTGGTTCTAGAAATGGAACGAATGAACGAAAATAAATAAATAAATAAATAAATAAATAAATAAATAAATAAATAAATAAATAAATATTACAGCTTGATGGGTAACAGGCCTTAAACATTCACTTGGTCTTTCCTGTTGTGTCATTGCATTTGCCAAATTTCCTTCAACCTCAAGTTACAAAGGCTGCTGTGGCCCTGAAGCCTGTTATTAACTACAAAGAAAAATTAAATTGGGAGCTGCTTTTCTTACCTTTGTGCACATGTTGAAAAGGAGAATGAGTACTTGTGCCAGAAGTACTTGGGAAACTGGCTGACACACCAGAAGTAACGCCTGTACCTGTAATAAAAAACAAATTTGCTACACATTTTTCTGGTTACTTGCAAAATCTCAACTTTTTTTTTTCATGAACAGAGACCAATAATTTGACCAATTATTTAAAAGATGATTTTATATGATTCAATTTTTCCTGCTGAGATGTGAAATAGAGACATGGCACATTTTTGTGTCTGAATGGAGATATTTACCCATTTTTATCTGAGACAGAGAAGCAATTTATGACCACAAACTTTTTTTTTCAGAAATTAGTTATTGATTGATTTAAAGAAGACATGCTAGAGGGCCCCAAAAAATATAATACACATTTTCTTAGATTATGATCGGTTACATCAGCAATATGTTATTTTATGCTGAAAGGGGAGTATTTTAGTATTATCCTCTATGCATTGGATGAGGTAGAATCTAGTTTACAAAACATTTCACAATAATAAAAGCTCATTTTGTCTTTTTAATTTTTGTAATACTAAATGGCTACTGGAGAACTAACGCAAGAACAGAAACAAAGATTTTTAAAAATTAACTAAGGAAAAAACCAAAGGTAAGTACAATAACAAAGAACTGAAACTTTGGAATATGAATACCTCTGCAATCCTAAGGAGGAATACAAATATTATTAAACCTCCAATTTAATTATCTTTTTAGAGTGATATTTCTATAAATGACAAAACAGGCAGAGGCATCTCTGGGGAAAGGTGCAAGGGGGGGATCCAAGAGAAAGAGACATCAACACACATAAGTTATTGCACAAATGATGCAGTTTGCTTCCTTTAAACAATAATTATGTCCCACACTCTCCTGGATTCTGGCCTGATATCTTAATCACTACAGCAAATTGGTTTTACTTCTACATCGTTACAAATTATGTCAACTCACTAGTCCCCAATAACTGATAACTGCAACATTCTGTAAGCATTTAAAATTGTTTTTCTTTTTTGATGGAATTCATTATTGAATGAAATAAAAATTCGGGAGGGGGAGGAAAGCATTATGCAAAAAGCATTCATATAGCCCCCTCCCTTTCATTCCCACCACCACTTTTTCCTTCTTCCTTCTGAACTTACTTAAAATTAAATTTTAATTAATCAAAAAAAAAATTAAAATCAAGGAGATTGTGCAGCCTGAAACTCAACAGGTATTAATTGAACCCTGTTTGGAAGAAGGCACTTTTTCATCCACAGGAAGCTTTGGGGTTGCACCCAGTCTGACTCTGGCTGGGCCCATTCCAGAGAGGTTGGCTGCAACGGCAAAAGGGTAGAAAAGGGGACCCGTCTGCTGCCCTGTGCAAGGTGTTCCGCTCAGGAGCTCCCACTCAATCCAAGCGGCAGCAGCACCAAGTGACCCTCATGGATACAGTTAAGCCAACGCAGTGAACTTGTGCAGAATTCCTCATGATTCACAACTCATAAGCGCAGAGTTTTATGGCACCTTGTTGTTGTTAATTGCGAAGTCGTGTCCGACCCATCGCGACCCCATGGACAACATTCCTCCAGGTCTTCCTGTCCTCTACCATCTTCTGGAGTCCATTTAAATTCACACCTACTGCTTCAGTGACTCCATCCAGCCATCTCATTCTCTGTCGTCCCCTTCTTCTATTGCCCTCAATCTTTCCCAGCATTAGGCTCTTCTCCAGTGAATCCTTCCTTCTCATTAGGTGGCCAAAGTATTTGAGTTTCAACTTCAGGATCTGGCCTTCTAAAGAGCAGTCGGGGTTGATCTCTTCTAGGACTGACCGGTTTGAACGCCTTGCAGTCCAAGGGACTCGCAGGAGTCTTCTCCAGCACCATAGTTCAAAGGCCTCAATTCTTTTGCGCTCAGCCTTTCTTATGGTCCAACTTTCACAGCCATACATTGCAACTGGGAAAACCATGGCCTGGACTATACGCACTTTTGTTGGCAGGGTGATGTCTCTGCTTTTTAGAATGCTGTCTAGATTTGCCATAGCTTTCCTCCCCAGGAGCAAGCGTCTTTTAATTTCTTGGCTGCAGTCCCCATCTGAGGTGATCTTGGAGCCCAGAAAAATAAAATCTGTCACTACCTCCATTTCTTCCCCATCTATTTGCCAGGAATTGAGAGGGCCGGATGCCATGATTTTGGTTTTCTTAATGTTGAGTTTCAAGCCAACTTTTGCACTCTCCTTCTTCACCCGCATCAAGAGGCTCTTTAGTTCCTCTTCACTTTCTGCCATTAGAGTGGTATCATCTGCATATCTTAGGTTGTTGATATTTCTCCCGGCAATCTTAATTCCAACTTTTGATTCATCTAGCCCTGCCTTTCTCATGATGTGCTCTGCATATAAGTTAAATAGGCAGGGCGACAGTATACAGCCTTGCCGGACTCCTTTTCCAATTTTGAACCAATCAGTGGTTCCGTGTTCGGTTCTCACTGTTGCTTCTTGACCCGCATATAGGTTTCTCAAGAGACAAATGAGATGGTCTGGTACTCCCATCTCTTTAAGAACTTGCCACAATTTGTTGTGATCCACACAATCAAAGGCTTTTGCATAGTCAATGAAGCAGAAGTAGATGTTTTTCTGGAACTCCCTAGCTTTCTCCATGATCCAGCGTATGTTGGCAATTTGATCTCTAGTTCCTCTGCCTCTTCGAAATCCTGCCTGTACTTCTGGTAGTTCTCGATCCACATACTGCTGGAGTCTAGCTTGTAGGATTTTAAGCATAACTTTACTAGCATGTGAAATGAGTGCAATGGTGCGATAGTTTGAACATTCTTTGGCATTGCCTTTCTTTGGAATTGGAATGTAAACTGACCTTTTCCAATCCTGTGGCCACTGTTGAGTTTTCCAAATTTGCTGGCAAATTGAGTGTAGCACTTTTACTGCATCGTCTTTTAAGATTTTGAATAGCTCAGCTGGAATACTGTCACCTCCACTAGCTTTGTTGTTGCTCAGATTTTCTAAGGCCCATTTCACTTCACATTCTAGGATGTCTGGTTCGAGGTCAATGTGACCATCTCATTGTGGTTATCTGGGATGTTAAGCTCATTCTTGTATAGTTCTTCTGTGTAGTTTTGCCATCTCTTCTTAATCTCTTCTGCCTCTGTTAGGTCTCTGCCATTTTGGTCCTTTATCATGCCCATCTTTGCATGAAACGTTCCCTTCATATCTCCAATTTTCTTGAAGAGATCTCTGGTCCTCCCTATTCTGTTGTTTTCTTCTATTTCTTTGCACTGTTCATTTAAGAAGGCATTCTTATCTCTTCTAGCTACTCTCTGGAATTCTGCATTCAATTGGGTGTATCTTTCTCTTTCTCCTTTGCCTTTCGCTTCCCTTCTTTCCTCAGCTATTTGCAAAGCTTCCTGAGACAGCCATTTTGCTTTCTTGCATTTCTTTTTCTTTGGGATGGTTTTAGTTGCTACCTCTTGTACAATGTTGCGAACTTCCATCCATAGTTCTTCAGGCATTCTGTCTATCAGATCCAGTTCCTTAAATCTATTTGTCACCTCTACTGTATATTCATCAGGAATATGATTTAGTTCATACCTGAGTGGCCTAGTGCTTTTCCCTACTTTTTTCAATTTAAGCCTAAATTTTGCAACGAGAAGCTCATGATCTGAGCCACAGTCAGCTCCTGGTCTTGTTTTTACTGACTGTATAGAGCTTCTCCATCTTTGGCTGCAGAGCACATAGTCAATCTGATTTCTATGTTGACCGTCTGGTGATGTCCATGTGTAGAGCCGTCTCTTGGGTTGTTGGAAAAGAGTGTTTGTTATGACCATCGTATTCTCTTGACAAAATTCTATTAGCCTGTGCCCTGCTTCATTTTGTTCTCCAAGGCCAAACTTGCCTGTTATTCCGGTTATCTTTTGGCTTCCTACCTTAGCATTCCAATCCCCCATGATGATAAGGACATCATTTTTTGGTGTTAATTCTATAAGGTGCTGTAGGGCTTCATAGAACCGGTCAATTTCATCCTCTTCAGCACCAGTGGTTGGGGCATAGATTTGGACTACTGTGATATTGAATGGTTTGCCTTGGATTCGAATTGAGATCATTCTGTCATTTTGGGGATTGTATCCCAGTATTGCTTTTCCTATTCTTTTATTGACTATGAAGGCTACTCCATTTCTTCTGAGGGATTCTTGCCCACAGTAGTATACCTGATGGTCATCTGAGTTAAATTCACCCATTCCTGTCCATTTTAGTTCGCTGATTCCTAAGATGTCGATGTTCAGTCTTGTCATCTCTTTTTTGACTACGTCTAGCTTGCCTTGATTCATGGATCTTACATTCCAGGTTCCTATGGAGAAAAAATCTTTACAGCATCGGACTTTCCTTTCACCACCAGATATATCCACAGCTGAGCGTCCTTTCGGCTTTGGCCCAGTCGCTTCATTCTTTCTGGCGCTACTAGTACTAGCCCTCTGCTCTTCCCCAGTAGCATATTGGACACCTTCCGACCTGAGGGGCTCATCTTCCAGCGTCATATCTTTTTTCCTTTTAGTACTGTCCATGGGGTTTTCATGGCAAAGATACTGGAGTGGTTTGCCATTTCCTTCTCCAGTGGATCACATTTTGTCAGAACTCTCTGCTATAACCTGTCCGTCTTGGGTGGCCCTGCACGGCATAGCTTATAGCTTCATTGAGTTACGCAAGCCCCTTCGCCACGACAAGGCAGTAATCCATAAAGGGGTTTATGGCACCTAAATATATATTATTATTTTGTGGTAACTTAATTTTTTTGAGTGCCCAATTCTATACCATGTGCATGGGTTTGACAACTAATGTGGTAGTACCTTAGAGGAAATGTATGTCATGATGTAGTGCAGCTTTTCATATATCCTAGATAATGATAAGCATATATCAGTGCTGGAGTGAAAAAATAATATGGAAATAGTTGAATTGCATCTCAGTAAAGCAAAAAAGAAAAAAGTGTCTTGTTGTATATAGTAGGCAAATTATGTACTATTTTTAATTGAGCTTCCATCCCTTATGAAAGAAAAAGTTAGCCTAGGGGCCTAAGAATAGAATTAATATTTGATTTGTTTATTAAATTTATATCCATATTTGGATCAAATTATTCTGCAGTGAAAAAATTATTACTATTCTATAATTCTGGAATATGAATCTTCACTCAGATACACCAGACAAATCGAACAGGAAATTTGGTTCTTTAATACAATGAAATAAATATCTCTCAGCTTAAGAGGCAAAGTAATGCATATGGCTTAAATAAAGTGTAGCATTAAATAAAATTTTATACACTATATTATGTAAAATATTTTAGAAAATGACATCCATTTTAATTTGCCCAGCAGAGTACCAATGATTTTGAATAACTCTTTCCTAGAACAGTGAGAAGCATTTTCCAAGCAATACTAGCTGTGAAATACAGTGTACCTTTAATTTTTAAGGATGCTCATTTGAAATCCAAATAGTGTTCATGCAATGTTAATAAACCAGTTTTATTTAGCTGGCCTGTTTCAGCAGTGCCTGCATTCACTATCTATAATGTGACTTTCTGCTGACATTTATTGCTGTGAATTAAATTGATGATTCAGTGAATCTAGAGCTAGTTCCCTGACATTTTTTACTTAGTCTCTCCCCGGCAGAGTAGAAATATTTCTCCCCCTGTTCCCCATTTTTTCCCTTTTGTTCCATGCTCTTTTAAGACATTTTAAAAATATTTATACTTTTATTTCACCTTTATTATTTTTATAAATAACTCAAGATGTGAAGCATATTTAACACTCCTTCCTTCTCAGTTATTAAATCCATATCCTCCCTGTCTAGTGAGGGCAGTTAATTGATACTCTGCTTGCAATCATTTACAGACACCATAAAACAAGAGTGGGGAACTATGGCCCTTGTGAACTTCAACTCACAGAATTCCTAAGCCAGCCATGCTGGCTCAGGAATTCTGGGAATTGAAGTCCAGAAATCATAAAGGGGCCATAGTTCCCTACCTCTGCCATAAAATCAGGTCCCATTAGAGCCAAGTGCACATACTATCTATAAATTTTCAATCACTTGCTACCTTGTTTTACATAACGTACATAATTGTAGCATAAATTACAGAAATATGTATATAAATCAGAGCTATCCAATCTTGGCAACTTTAAGACTTGTGGATTTCAACTCCCAGAATTCCCCAGCTACCCATACTGGCTTTGGAATTCTGAGAGTTGAAGTGCACAAGTCTTAAAGTTTCCAAGATTGGACACCCCGATATAAATGATGTAAAAAATGGTTTGGACTAATTTGAATTCAGGTTTTCTGCATCAAAAGTTGAATTAATAGAGATCCATAGAATAAAAAGTTTAGTACGTTCCATGGCAAGTTAGAGGTCTTCAATCTGTTTATTTGCTTACACATTGCTGTATTTTTACTTCCATACTCCTGGCAAGCCAGATCACATCCCTTAGCAGTTTGCCCAAATTTACAGTCAAAATAACAAATGTACACATAAAATGTTAGAACAGCAAATACATAGGACAATAGTCTAGTGAATAAAGATAATGGGATTGTAATTGATTGCCACTGAATTTGAATCATGCAGCTGCAGGAAGGAAGACTAGATTAAATTATCCTGAATTAATATTAGTAATGAAATGGGTTTAGGGCATTCCAAATTAACAGCATTTCATAGACTATTAAAGAGTATTATTAAAGTCAATATTACTATATGCAAGAACTTCCAAATGAACCATTGGACTATCTTATTTTAATAAAACAATGGTTAAGATTTGTTTAAAAAATGATATAATTTCTTTTTTCTTAAATTGAGATTTATATATGCACTCACTCCTGAAAGGATGGCTATTCAGTTCAGGAATTTTTCAGGAATTGTAAAATGATGGAGGGGTCATTAACATATGATTTTGGATTTAATATCCATGTTTGTTAATACAGTTGTCTTTTTGGGGGAAAGAAATATGGTTTAAATTTGTGAATGTGATGTATGGGCATTTAAGCATTATATCTAATGTTTTCTGCATTGGAACTTTTGATTTTTGTAATAGAAAATGTAAAACTGCTGAAAAAGAATTATGAAAAACCAAAAAGCTACCCAGTCAACAGATTCTATGTATAACATCACAGTACTTAAAAAGGTCTAAAATGTAGGTTAAATTAAAAGTAAAATAAAATTAAAATGGAATCCAACTTACATTCTTTAGTGTTTGGAGGTGCCAGTGAACACGAGTAACAAACCATCCCATAAATATTCCGAGGCCTGTTTTCTAACATGTAATAGCTGTAAAAAAGAGCAAGAAAGGGCAAAACTAATAAAACTGGGTTTACTGATATTAACTATGGTTGAAGTAATTAATTACTATATAAACACCCTACTTTAAATGTGTCAGTGTTATCTATTTCCATTGCTTGACTAGAAAAGATCCCTTCTCCACTGCCTCATAAAATTAGTGAAATCAAGCTTGAAAGGTCCGTGGCATGACTGCTATCAGTCTAATCCAACATACATTTTTGCATAAAGTTCAACACGTTTCTAAAATTAAATTTTCTGCACTAGAAATTTCTTGCAGAGGTAATCTTCTAGACAGATCCTAGCCTTAACTGACACAACAATAATATCGTTAGAGACAGAAAAATCAAAGGTGTAACCTGGTTAGGATAAACACGATAGTTAAAATAAACACCCAGTGAGTTTATAGGTGCTTTGGCAATATCCTGTGTTCAGCTGGGCATGCACAAATGTATTTGCCAATTCTCAGTTTTATAAAAACTGGATTTTATAAAAAAAATTAGCTGGAAAGGAACTTAAGATTTATCCTAAATATCCATTCCCATTTTGCTAATGATAATTATATCAAGGCAGGACCTCAATGCATTCATGTGGATTAGGAAACAGGTTTCATGTGCCTTTATGATGCTTTATCTCTAGCCTCAACCACTCCTCTGCTACTTTTAGGAAGCAAAACCTGAAATAACATTATGATGAATGCTAAGCAAAAAGCCGTTTATTTGTAATTAGGAAGATCAGAAACATTGCTATTCTGCTAATTGCTTTGGGTAGGATCCAGAAGGTCAGTTAGGAATTGGGAAAGTGCTTAGGGCTGCAAAACTCTGGATAGCCGTGAGATGGCAGGAAAGCTATACAGAAAACTAATTCCTATGTCATCCAGTGGTCATCTGTATTTATTCAGGTCTATTTCTGTTGGGCGGAAAAGAGCTTTATTGGCAGGAGTAGGTCATGCAAAGAACACCCTTGTACCTGCAAAAAAATGTGTCTGGCTTTGGAAGCACAGAGCATACTCATTTCACTTCTTATTTCATTTCGCTCTGTAAATTAGGCTTAAAATCATCAGGATTTAAGCCATGACTTAAATCACGTTGCTTGCTATGTGAAAGTAAAAGTTTCAGAGTCAACAATCAGTATTAATTTCTAGTTTTAAGAAAACAGCAGGTGTGCTTTTGAGTTGATATTTGCTTTAATAGTCTTGTTTCTTTCTTTAACACAAATCTTTGGGACCACCTTTTTTAGTTATGTACAAATAACTATCATGCATTTAACTGAATGCAGAAAAAATGGAGCATGCACAGAATGAAGATTGTAAGATTGTAATTAAATCCTTACCTAGGAAGACAAGGCCCACATTCGGCATCATTTTCTTTATCTCCAGGTGTCATCACTGTCGCCCGAAAGAACCCTTCACAATCTTTGTGCCTCCGGCAAATATGATAGCCACCTTTAGAAAATTTTTCTGATGGGCATGGGATGCAGCCATAGTCTTCATCTCTAGTGCCATACCCACATGTCTGTGAGAACAAAAGCATTTCAAAGAATACAATTTTTAAATGACTTTTACAAACAGAGGGAATTGATGGCCCTTCCTCCTTTCCCCCACTGCCCTCCTTGGCAGATTGCCTGAGGATTAATTTGGCAGCGTCCACTTTGTCTTCCTGATAGGATTAAATAAGAATTCCAATCTGGAACAGAGTAGAGATGCCGAGATCTTTTTACTGCACTGTTCTCCAAATTCAGTTTTGAAGGAAATATGAAGGCATGTCTTCAGTCCAGTGAAGAAAGACCTGGCATGCCTTTCTTATCATTGACTAGTCCAGTGGTGGAGAACCTATGGCAAGGTTGCCAGAGGTGGCACTCAGAGCCCTTTCTGTGGGCTCACGTGCCATTGCCCCAGCCTTGCCTCTTCCCGCAACCCCCTCCTCGCCAGCAGCCTGCCTGGAGGAGAGTCGCCCTGAGCGTGGCCCATGCGGAGCAGCACAGCCAAGGACATGGCAGCCAGGCAGCGTAAACAAGACTCTGCCCTCATGCCCCAACGCGCACAGTTGATGCTGCAAGGCGTGGGCAGAAGGCGTGGTCATCATGGTGCTGCTGGGCTACCTGGGCAATCTGCGGTGGGCCCTGGAGGTGATGAGTGGCCCTGCGGGCAAGCAGGATGGGGTGGAGTGGGGTTGGGGCAGGGGTGGGGCAGGGGTGGGGCAGGGTATGGAGCAGGGGCGGGGCCAGTTTTTGGGCACTCGGTCTCTAAAAGGTTCGCCATCACTGGACTAGTCTAATAAGAAGAGTACCTGAGAGCATCCCTTCTTTGGAGTGGCATCTAGTCTTTGCAAGTCCTCTCTGTCTCCCTCCCCCAAATGTTTGTGGCTGGTTTCTTGTTTCTGGCACACAGAAACATATACTTGTTTTCATCAAGCTTATATGACCCACAGTTAATCTCATTTTAAGCATAATGTTGACTGTCCTTTGCTTTAAAAAATATTTTTTAACTCTTTGGGTTTTTATCAATACTGGCTCAGGAGTTCACCAATTACGCAGAACCACAGCTGCCTAGGCTCAGGCAAGGTGCATGTTCAACCATGTAGTCTTCAATGTGAAAATGAAGAGACTCTAGCAAAGCACTTTCACTGTGCATCTGTCCTGCTTATTTGCATTCAAGAACTGAAAGGTGGTGAGGTACAAAGGATGAAAAAGAACGAAATATCAGGGCAAAGCCTCTTATGTACCGTTTGTGTAGGTACAGAGTTTCATTCTCTCTTAATCAAAATATGGTGCCCATTAAAAAAATTGCTGCCAAAGATAATTATATTTCTAAGGCAAAGTAATTATGGGAAATTGCACTGGAGAAAAACTGTTCCTGCTTTGCTGGACTCACCAACCTTGTCTGAAATCCTATTTGGAGCACAACGGCTATTTTTTTACTTCATAGCAATCCTGTGAAGGCTATTTTCCTGGCAGTGAGGAAATTTAAAATAATGATACCCTGCACCTCAGGGAAAATGACATTGTTCATTGCCATTGTCGAACAAGACTAAAAAAAAGTGTACTTTTGTTGGCCTATGGATATGATTTAGTACAGATTTCTATTTTGATTTGGACAAATAAGAACATCAGAAATTGCCTTATAGAAGGCCAAACTTATCTAGTCTAATATTGTTTACTGCTTTGGCTAGGAGGCAAGATTCCTCATCCCCAGTGTGTGTGTGTGTGTGTGTGTGTGTGTGTGTGTGTGTGTGTATCTGCGCTCACCCTTGCGCGCACATGCACACGCACACATTTCTATTTTTCTCCTTAAGGAACATTTCTCTTTTCAGCTTTTGCATGAAGACACATTCACTATAGCTATATGAGGACAGAAGGAGCAATCCTTTTAAAAATATATTTATAGTATTTTAAACACATTTCTTAATAACATTGTTATCTTATGTGATGCATTTTTCAAATTGGCACCTTTAAAAGAAATGATCTTGAGAACATGACAGTGACAAGGAAAACTTACCATATAAGGTTCTTCTCCTGGCTCACACTGTGGACACTCGTGGCACATTCCGGTTGTCTGATTGTAATACTCATTTTCACCACAATTAGAATATTCAGCATTAGCGGCATACACAAGTGATGCCTGTATCAAAAAGTAAAGCTTGGTCACTTCTACTGCCAGGTTGTCATAAAAAGCAGAAATGATGGATAGCTGAATCACTGAGCTTAAAACCTACAAACCCACACCTCCCAATAATATGGGCTACTGCACATTGAACATACTATCAAAGCTCCCATCATGGATCTTCTAGTCTTTATGGGCTGAACCAGACTATCTGGAATTCCTTTGATGATTTCAAATTTTCTTGGAATAGACAAACAACTTTGTGTCTACTCTGTATTTGACAAGCAGGCAAAAATATGAAAAATGTAATATTTGGAGAAGTAGTTAAATTTTAAAAATTGTCCACATCTTATTTTGTTAAAACATTACACTTGAAGGCATATGTGAAGGCATATGTTGAGAACAATGGAAAAGATAGCTAATTAGAATAAATTAAATATAAAATATAAAAATGGAGTCCCTTTTTCAAAAATAAAAAGCATAGAATTTATAAAATTACATCCTTTTAAATAGAATGTAAAGCCTTGGATATTAATCAAAGATATGTAAGTTTATATTTATTGCAGGCTAATTGTGCATCTGAAATAAGAAACTGCTGTTTGTTTGAATAAATTATGTCTAAAACATCTAATGAAGAAATATTGTATTTTAATTGTCTGTAAATGCCATATAAAAGGCAATATTGTTTGAAGAAGATGCCTAAGGTTATTTCCACATTAATGGCTTATAGTATCTTATAAGTGTCATTCATTTATCACTGTGCCATAATCATCATCATCATCATCATCATCATCATCAACATCATCATCATAATATCACTTCAACAATGGCTGGTTGACGCTATGAAAATACCATAATACACAGGTGCAAAAATGACCAACATCTTTTCTGCAAAATAGACATCTCCTTTCACAAATGCCATTTTGTTAAAATATCTGTTTGACATAATAAAAGAGGCGAAAAGGATATGACTTTTAGATGTAATGTTTAAATTGCAGAATTATTTTATGTGGTTTACGAAGGATTTGTAACAGTTTTATAACACTTTTTACAATGTCCAGTTCCAAATTCCCCATGCAACCTTAGGCAGGTTTTTTTATAAGTTCTCTGTCCTTTGAGGTCAGAGCTTAGGATCATCACCATGGACTTTGTTTTTTTTAATTTTCATACTCAGTTCTTTTAATGAGATCTAAGTTTGCTTTATTCTTATTGAGTTATTAATATTTTCAGCTTCATTATGGACATCCTCTATGAGAATATGGTCAGATAGTATGATAGTCATTCTGTGTAGAGGCAAAAAGCCTCATTGCATTTTGAGAGAGCACCCATTTCATGCTCCCAGCATTTCAAATTTGCCAAGCTAGTCTGAAAAGCAAAATGAAGCAAAAATGCTTTTATTAACATAAAAGTGCTGAATATTGTATGCCTTCTTAGTAGTGCTTTCTAAAATTAGCTATCTGCAGCTATTGTCCTCAAGATCAAAGGAGTCCATTTCCACTTATTTTCAGAATTTTTCTGAAGCAAATATCATATTGAACATAAGATAGTTTGGACTATATAGCAATTTCAGCATTTCAAAATTAAACAGATTATTTTCTTTTGAGAACTATTTTCATTTGTTTCTTTTTTTTTTAGAAATTTCACTTATCCCCAGAGTAAGTGTGAAGAAGCTGAAGCATTGAATGATAATTCCCAAAACCTTTTTCTTTCTGTTAGTTGAAGTTTATAAGCTGGAGATTTTAAGCTTACTCCAGGTTCAGAAGATCATAGAATTACAGAATTGCTCTTAAAATTGCCCTGAGTTTATTCAAATCTGCTTTCTTGCAGACAAAGGTTTGCATATCACTACAATTCTCTAGCAGTGTGTAAGATTGATCTGCTATATGTTCTCCCTTGCTTGCGGTCTTGTTTCTTTTACCAATTGGTAAAGTGATGGAACCTTCTGATCATATTATAAATTTCTAGTAAGTTTCTTCCTAAACTTGACAGAATTCATGTCCAATTAGTCTGCCATTACTATTACCTTCTGCCCTTTGAAAGATTTTATTTATTTATTTATGAGACTTATATACCGCTTTAAGTGCAAGCACTCTCTAAGCGGTGTACACCAGTAAGCAATGTATATATATATTTACATTGCCCCCAACAATCTGGGTCCTCATTTTACCTACCTCGGAAGGATGGAAGGCTGAGTCAACCTTGAGCCGGTGAGATTTGAACCGCTGATCTGCTGAACACAGTCAGCTAAAGTGGCCTGCAGTACTTGCACTCTAACTGCTGCGCCACCTCGGCTCATATTTTCTTTGGTTGAGTAGTCAGTGAGGTAAACCAATAACATTATTACTTTTGCTTTCCCCCCAGCTTAATTCAATCCAGATGTTTTCTACAGTAAACCAAGGTCATCTATCTGAATTTCTGGGCAAACATGCATGTTGTTAACTTTGAACTTCTCCTTCATTTTCATTGCTTTTTAAGTATTCTATTGTAATTTTGAGAATCTTGTCTATCAATTTATGGTTGCTTTCCTGTAATGAGTTCAGGCTCCCTTTTGTTTATTTTCCATGCTGTGATCCTTGATTTATCTAGACAGTGAAGGCCATGAACTTTACGAATCCATGTTCTTCATTTTTAATTGATCAGCTTAATAAGTCCCCGTATTGGACTTAGTTCTGCCAAAACCTGTTTTTTCAGTAGTCTTTGTGAAAGGCAATCATCTTGTCACAGCAGTCTATCATCCGGTAATACAAACTATGGTCCCAGAAATCAAATCTCTTTCATCCCTTTCTACTCCTACTTCACAGACTGGAAGAATGAAAACTATAGGAGCTGCTAGGAAATTTTGCTCTTTTCTCTCTCCATCTCTATCCAACATAAGCCCTGGAACTTGTGAAAATAATAAACATTATGTATACTTTTTCAATCAGATCAACATAACCTATTGAGAGTCAACAATATTAATGGCATTTATGGGTTTGATTTTTTTAAAAGACAAACAGATTTTTTAAAATGAAATATTCTGAAGTAGGTACATAGAAAATTTTGGTTTTGATTAATAAAGCACTAATGAATGGTTCTTTACTATCAATTTGCTACAGTAAATGGATGGATCTACAGCTTATGCATTCAAAATACCTACTATGAAAAAAGGGAAAATATGAGTCCATCTGCATTCTCCCAGATACACCATATTATCTTGATAATTTATCTGAAAAGAAAAGAAAGATTAACTGTTATTGCAGGAAAAAGGTCATATTTAGAATGCTTTCTTATGCATATTACTTGGAAATCATTGTCACTGCATAATAAGAAATTGCTATAAAAACTTCTTACTTTTATATGAAAAGAATGGTTAAAGCAATTCATCAGTTAAAGCCAAGTTGTTCTGAACAAGAAGCTTAAGAGACAAAGGAAGTTATTATTTCCAGAGGATGACATTTTTAATTAAAAGCACAATAGACTGGGAAGTGTCTCTCCTTATCCCAAGAGGCATGGTCCCAATTTAACTATGGATGTGTTAGCCCTCTCAGGTAAACCAGACATGAAAGATAACTAGATGTGCTAATCCTACTTTATTGTAAGGATACATTAACAGAATCTTGCAAGTCTGAAGGTACAAACTTCCACTTTTAACTGCTTGATCCACAAAGGAAAGTCCCTCCTAAGTTTATTTCTCTGACCATTAAGCTGCTGAAGGCTTTTCCCTGTCTTATCTGATTGTTTTCTAGGTAGCATCTCTTTTCCCTTATCCCCAAGGTCATCCATACATTCCATTATAGAATGAGATAGCAAACCTGGTGTATATTATTAAAATCTGAGTGGAAGAGAAAAGTTCTGCCCACCCAAAGTTTGGATGTGTCACTTGCTGTTAGCATCCATGAAACTCTGCAGGCATCGAGAACATGATGTTGCTCATGCTTCCTGGTTTGAAGGATCATATGGATTGCTTGTGGATTGTGTTTTGCGGATTAGTCTTCTTGTTACATTGTGTTGTCCTTGCCAGAGATGTATAACATTAATGTAGTAAATTTCCGCAATCTGATAGTGCTCAACTTGCCTTCCTTGGTGAAAGGTCTGGGATAGCCCGGGAATTCAAGGCAACAATGGCAACATGGATCTGATCCAGTTTACTGAGGGCACATATGAGATCTGATTTTGGGTTTGGGGCAGATGGAGGAGACTGAACCTCTCCCCTTGTTATGGATAGACCATGCTTGACTGAAGTGCCATGCTTTTTTCCAGAGGGGAGGATCTGTTAGAGAGGCCTGTCTCAAGCATCTCTTGAATTTTCAGAGGGTCTTGGGGAGTTTTCTGGAGAGATGATGGGCTGATCAATCAAAGTATGAATTGCTAAATAAATAACATGCAGACAGACAGGCAGACTCTAGCATGAAAGTACTGCCAAATTAAACAAAAAGAACTCCCAGATTTAAAATACAAAAACATACCCTCTTTTTACCAAAAGCATGACAGGCAACTGATTGGATTCATTAATTGTTTTTTTCTCCCATGAAATTGTTGGGGAAAAGGGAGTAAAAATCCTGCCCTTCAGCAGATGAGGAAAAAAAGAACAAGCTTTTGCTATAAAAGGTATATGCTGCAGGGGTTTAACCAATTAAATATCTCTGATATTTGAGGTGTGGCTGTAACAGTGTGGTCTTTTCAGAAAGCATTAACTCTTTTTCTATGGCTCTATTTTGAACACATATCTTTTAAGTTATTTTCTGAAACTCAAGGCAGTGTACAGTAGTTTTGGTTTACATTACAGTGTCCAGTTAAATAGTGGCACTCTCTCTTACACATACAGATGTTATTTTTAAAATCAATACAGCTGATGTCATAAGTATACTACTGAACTACTAAATAGTAAACTCCCCACATATGTTCTTTCTAGCAAAGTAGACTAGCTCAGACAAGTTACTGTATAGATGGGGAGAGGAAGGCAAAGAACCTGATCTATCTATACATAATTTCTTTAGAACACAAACCAACTGTCAGCCTTTTTAAAAAGTCTTATTGAGTTCTCTGGAAATGAATGAAATACAATTTACATTTTTATTTGAAACCCATGCAGTTAAAACTTCACAACTTTGATTAGATGTTGCCTCTAAAAATTGCTTTATGAAAAGGCAGACAGAAAAACTTAGATAGCCTAAATATAGGTATTAGCAATACTATTTCACAATCACATCTTTCCTTATTCCCTTGTACTCTTATACTCTTGAGAGTAAAATCATGTCTTCATAACTATGAAAGGAAAAAAAGTCTCCTGCTTGTCTTATATAGCTTGCTCCTTGTTGAAGTTTGCTAATATTCTAACAATCATGCATTATTCCACCAGACATATTCTGAGAGACCACTCCCAACAAGGATACATTTATCTGTTGCTTAGCTGTAGCCCAGGTATGGAGGCTGGTACATAAACATTGTCATGAAGGTTGATTCTACACTATATAAAGTACACTAAAATATACACTATCTTTATAAAAGAAGAGGGTATCAGCTTATTTTCCAAAATACCAGAAGGCAAGATAAGAAACAATAAATGAAAACTAATCAAGGAAAGAAGTAACCTGGCATTAAGGCGAAACTTCCTAACAATGCAAACAATTAACCAATGAAATAGCTCGCCTTCAGAAGTTACAGCTGCTTCATCACTGGAGGTTTTTAAGAAAAGATTAGACAGCCACCTGTCTGAAATAGTATAGGGTCTCCATCTTGAGCAGGGGTTCGACCAGAAGACCTCCAAGGTCCCTTCTAGCTCTATTTTGATTCTAGATTCTATCTCTGCAGAGCATTGGACTCATTCATAAAAAACGTACTGTAGTTATCTGACTGAAAGCAAGCAAATTAGCTTTTATTAACTTAAATATCACTGATTTATCTCAGAAGTAAGTAAGACTTGATGAAGACTGTACCACAGTGTTAATTACAACCAAAGATAGATTGTTCTGAAGCAAACTTGCTTCTAGCAGCAAGATATAGCTAGAGCAGGGGTAGTCAACCTTTTTATACCTACCGCCCACTTTTGTATCTCTGTTAGTAGTAAAATTTTCTAACCACCCACCGATTCCACAGTAATGGTGATTTATAAAGTAGGGAAGTAACTTTACTTTATAAAATTTATAAAGCAGAGTTATAGCAAGTTAAAGCATATAATAATAATTACTTACCAAACACGACGAGTTGTGTTTCTACCAAACAGTTATACTTTGGTTTCATCTGACCATATGATATTCTCCCAGTCCTCTTCTGGATCATCCAAATGCTCTCTAGCAAACTTCAGACGGGCCCGGACATGTACTGGCTTAAGCAGGGGGACACTTCTGGCACTGCAGGATCTGAGTCCCTGGCAGTGTAGTGTGTTACTGATGGTTGCCTTTGTTACGTTGGTCCCAGCTCTCTGCAGGTCATTCACTAGGTCCCCCTGTGTTGTTCTGGGATTTTTGCTCACCGTTCTTGTGATCATGTTGACCCCATGGGATGAGATCTTGCGTGGAGCCCCAGATTGAGGGAGATTATCAGTGGTCTTGTATGTCTTCCATTTTCTAATTATTGCTCCCACAGTTGATTTCTTCACACCAAGCTGCTTGCCTATTGCAGATTCAGTCTTCCCAGCCTGGTGCAGGTCTACAATTTTGTTTCTGGTGTCCTTTGACAGCTCTTTGGTCTTCACCATAGTGGAGTTTGGAGTGTGACTGAGGTTGATAACACGTTCAAACAGGTGCCATTAATACAGGTAATGAGTGGAGGACAGAGGAGCCTCTTAAAGAAGAAGTTACAGGTCTGTGAGAGCCAGAAATCTTGCTTGTTTGTAGGTGACCAAATACTTATTTTCCACCATAATTTGCAAATAAATTCTTTCCAAATCAGACAATGTGATTGTCTGGATTTGTTTTCTCGTTTTGTCTCTCATAGTTGAGGTCTACCTATGATGACAATTACAGGCCTCTCTCATCTTTTTAAGTGGGAGAACTTGCACAATTGGTAGCTGACTAAATACTTTTTTGCTCCACTGTAGAAACAGGAAGTCTGATGAAATTACATTTAATTAATTAAATTATTAATGAGATCCCTGAGGCTGATGCTGCGAAACTAAATACTGGATATCTGGCTCAATTTTTGTAAGGAACAAACGAAGGTCTCCTCTTTCGGAAATATTCAGGCGGTTTCTTTCTTTGGTCATAATATGATTAACAGCACTAAAGCCTGATTCCACAAGATATGAGGTAGGGAAAGGTATCAATAAACTGAATATCATTTTCCACATATTTGGATATAAGGCAGGCATTTTTTTTACTTTGCCATAGGTTTTCATATCCACCACTATCAAATTTATGTTTACTTTCTTCATCATATCTAATTTCTAACAGTTCTTCTTGGCAAGTTATATCAGCCTCTTCAATATTTGCGGTAAAAGGATTTTTCATCCAGTCATACACCTTCAATTTCAAAATATCTTCAAATCGTTTTTCCATGTCCAATTTAAGTTTGTTGAGGTGGCTACTAAATCTGTCAATATCCTCTGGAGTTACATCATCTTTTATAGATGATAATTCAGGAAACTGATGAAATTCTCTCTTCAATAGATTATAACGAAGTAGTTCAAGTTTGTCAATAAATAATGACACAATACTTTGGCAACCTATAAGAGTCTTATTAGCTCCCTGAAGCTGCAAATTGACATCATGAAATCTCTTGAAAATATCTGCCAAATAAAAGGCATCATTCTTTACTGTTTTTAACTGTTGACACAGATTGGTCTCATTATTACTTTCAAAAAATTGTATGACACTATCATATAATGCTACAAAACGAGCCAAAGATGTACCCTTTGACAGCCACCGAACTTCTGTGTGCAAAAGTAACGTAATAAAATCTTCATTATTGTCCTGGCAAAGCTGTCAAAACATTCTATCATTTTTTGGTTTGGATTTGATCTTGTTTATGGCTTGAATTATTATATTTAATGATGAATGGAGACTTGTACTTAGATGTTTTCCTACAAGATGTTGTCTATGCACCACACAATGAATACATAAAACGTTTGGCACTTCTTCCTTCAAATAAGCAACAAATCCACGATAGCAACCCACCATTGATGGTGCTCCATCAGTAGCACATGCAACAATATTATTCAAAGGAATCTTATTTTTTGTAAAGTATGATTTCACAGTATTAAATATAGATAATCCTCTTGTATCTGTAATCAGATTTATTGCGAATAGCATTTCTTCTTGTAATGTATTGTTTTCATCAAAATAACGTACATATGCCATCAATAAAGCATTATTATCTGCAGTGGTAGACTCGTCCAATTGCATAGAAAATGAAATGTTTTGGAGAATACTTATCAGTTTTTTTTCAACATTAACTGCCATTTCATCAATTCATCGCTTTACTGTGCTATCGCTTAGGGGCAATGTTTTTAAATTTTCAGGTATATCCTGATGCATTACTGTTGAAATAAATTCTTTTATAGAGGGTATTATTACTGTTTCTCCAATATTATAGCTTTTACCTCTTTTTGCAATTAATTGTGAAATGTGATAAGCGCAAATTAATCCATCTTCGTTCGCTGCATGTTGTTTCTTAAATGATGCAATGATTGTTGAATGATTTTGAAATTTTTTATATATTTCCTGAAAATATTCAATGGGCTTGTCCTTATCATTTGGATGCTTTGTAGAAAGATGTTCTCGCAATCGACTTGGCTTCATTGCCTCATTGGATAATGTTTTATGACACATTGGGTGTTGTTTATTTACAACAGATTCTATGAAACCCATCTTCAGATACTCTGGCAAATAGCCACGAGCGTATTTCTTTTTTTGAGACATGGCCTCTACCTTGGTCTTGAGGGAATGCCCAGTGGAGTCTGGTTTGCCCCCGATCCGTGCCTGTCACAGCAGGATGAAGAGAGAGCCTGGTTCTTGCCAGAGATGAAACCTCTATGACTGAGGGCTCTGTGCAGCTCTCAAAATGGCGGCCACGCCAAAATTAGCGGCCGCTTGTATTTGGGCTGGGCCTTCCCAGCCTTGAGGGGCCCTAAGGGGAAGCTTGTTGTTTGTTGTGCCTTTAATTTCCACCCCCCGGAGCCAAAAATGAGGCACTTGCAGTTTTATCTCATTGCGCAGCCTCTGCTGCGATCCGGATTGTCGAGAAAGTCGACGGGAGCCTCGCGATGACGGCGCACTTCGGCGAGGCTCTCTGGTCTCCGAGAGCTCCGTGGGTGGTCGCACAGCTGAGGCTAACACCCCGCGTCTGCTGGAAAGCTCTGTGAGCCGATCGGAGGGCTCGATGGATCCGAAAATTTAAACGGCTCGATTGAACCCCTACCACCCACCAAAAAAGCTGGAACGCACACTAGTGGGCGGTAGGGACCAGGTTGACTACCACTGAGCTAGAGTAACAACTCAGCTCTCATCCTTCCACCATCCTCCTATATTGTCAGTAAAAAGCAGCAGGCACTCTTGTGTTCATATTTACCATTAATAAGCAGTCAAGGTGAAGGTATATTCATTTTCTTGAATACCTTCACCACTTCTTTCTAGCCATATTCAAAAAATCTGAATAAATAAATCAAGAAAGATCCATCAGCTGCCTGAAGGTAGTTTTGTGTTATCCTTGATTAATTTTTGGGGGGCTTAGTATTGTAGGAAGTCACCCTCCCCAAAAGAAAGAAACATTTTGGGGAATATTAAAAAGGCAGAATATTATATTTCCCAAAGGAATAATGGGAGAAAATCTTCAAGGGCAGAAACTTCTTCCTCTCCCCCAGGCAGAAACTCAGCAGATCAGCTCTGTAGAAATGCAGATTTGATAATCCTATTCAGAAAGACTTGGCCACCTATTCATTATCAAAATTCCTTCAGCTGTAGCCCCATAGAAGGTTTGAATTGATGGGATTAGAAAAACAAAGACTCCAAGGAACATGACCTTTAGGAGGATTAACCCACCACCATTAGAATACCGAAAGGGCACACTGAACCCCAGGTCAAAGCCCATTGTACAGGAGCAGGAAGAGCCTCAAATACAATGCCACAGGAAAAAGAACAACTCCAAACACAAAAACCCAAGAAGGTATAAAAACCTACCACTCCCAGCTCCATTTTGTCAGCCACCCCAGAAACACATGCCATTGTGTCATTGAAGTTTCTGGCAATTCAATAAACTGGACCTTCTTTCCTAAAGCAGTCTCCATTTTGTTTATTCCTGGCTTGGACTGGACCTGAAGATTTTTCTTTCAACAGTATATTATGTAAACTCAGTGTCTTTTGAAACTTTATGATTTAGGAGACTTCCGGTCTTGTATTGTAGCGACACAGCCAAGGGATTGCCGGGCTCCACACCCCATGGCTGGTTTCATCTTGCCAGGGGACCCTAAATTGGGTCTAAAGTCACCCCAGAGAGGAAATAAGAAGGAGGCCCCCCGCTGATTATGGAATGAGAGTGGTCAATCCATTTGATCTGGGAGAAGCCCTCCAACCTGACAGGAGAAAGGCTAGCTACACCTAAATGATTAGCCCAAGCTACCGGCAGCTGAAGTCCAAAAGCACCAACTAGAACTGTGAACAGTGTGCTTGGAATTGGGTGAGAATATCGATCTTCTCTTTCCTATTTTGTAACTGATTTCCTGGAAAAGATCCCCAAGAAGCAAAAAAAATCTTCCAAAAGTGAGAAGGGAGGGGAACATACCCCCACCCTTCCATAGTCAGAAGTGGCAAATTAATGTTTATGGGGGACAGAAATATATTGAAATGAAGTTAATAATACTACAGTCTAGGTAAATCTGAAAATTATGATAACTATTAAGATCTCACATCTGAAAGAGTATTGATGAAATTATAAGAAAATAATTCTTTGTCTTAAAAGTTGGAAAATGAATAGCTACTGACATCTAGTGGAGGATTAGATATAAAACTACAGCTGCATTGACTCAGAAATTGGCAAGAAGCCCAGAAATAGAGAAAAAATTGTTCCTTTGAAACTCAGTGAC